TTGCTTTATTGTACTGTACTGCAAAAAAGGCTTAAGCATTACTTTTAAATAAAAATGATTTTTCTTTATTAATATTGATTTGTTGCAACAAATAAAAGTTACTTCTATTCTACTAGCATTTTTTAATATAGTTAATTAAAATATTTTATTGAAATTCAATTGAGTTTTTTATTTTAAAAATCAAATGCATAATATAATTTTTATAATATGTATGAGTACATTTATGAGATTGACATTTGTTGCTCTTTAGATGCAAAACTGAAATGCCATTGAACTAGGGTTATGACAGATATTTGAAAGTATAAACATATTAGAATTCAATCATTTAATTAACAACTATCTTAATAAATGAAGCTTAAGAATATTTATATATTAAGAAAATAAATAAAATTAATCATCACAAAAAAACCAGTGATGATGTGATTCTCGAATTAGTGAAAGAATAATGACATATTAACTAAGTCTTTTAGAGCAAAGAAATCGATTAAATTCAACTACTATAACTGCACTCAGAACAATATGTTCTAACCACATACTAGTTTAATTGACCTGATCACATTATTAGAAAAATTTTAGCTCATGTGATAAAGAAGGTATAAAAGTGAACATATACCACATGTTCACTGGTCGAACCAGTTAGAATATAAAGTCGAGTAAGAATATTTTAATTTGAGATTTAGTTAAAATCTAAATAAATCAATTAAATTATTATTCTGAGTGTACTACTACAATACATAATATAATATATATTACCTAATACATACCTCTTTAATCATTTAGAATATAATTTTGTTTAATAATTTTTATAGCCTTTAGAGTCTTTAAATATAAACTTATTTTTATAGCGGAATCCTAACTACAAAAATTAGTACCTGCTTTTAGTCAATCTTGACATAGCGATATAATAATTGAATGGGATGTAATGAGATTGTCGCCGCCATTGACATTTGTGGCGTTTGTTCTTTCCCTCTTATTTTATGATTGAGTCCTTACCTAATTTGTTAGCAAACTCTTTTTATTAGGACTATTAGTACTTTCATCATATTCCTTCATTAAGGATTTCTTTAATCCTTAATACTTAATCCTTAATCCTTAAGGATTTCCGAGATTCACAGACATACTCTTTGTTATGACTTTGTTATAACTACTCTGATAAATTTTGATGTATAAAAAGCGAAAAATGTATATGGAAAGTTATATATTATCTCCGAAACGCATTTTATTTCTCTCCAACTACATATAAGTGGGTACCAAATCACAAATTGTAGTCTGGGAAGATAATTACCAATGGTTACAAATAAATAGTCTTTGATATTTATAGTGTTTACGAGTATAGTGTTTCCCCTTCTTTTCTACAATCCGTGTCTGGGACCCAGTCCAATCTAGGTTACAAAGAAGAACACACTGTCTAAAAATACAATGTGATCTCCTTCAATCCATATTTAGGAATATTTTATTACCATATGGGTATGTGCTGTAAAAATATGACAGGTAACACAGGAAGCGCGTGGGGTGAGGCAACTTTGGTATATAGAAACCATGTATATAAATAGATTTCGCAATGTTAAGTTTGAATGCTTGAATAAATTCTTCAATAGGGTTAGTGTTATTAATATAAGTGTTATTCAAAATACTGTATTATAGTATATATACAACACTTTACGTCTGCAGATAACATATCTGAGTGTTTTTCAATAAACTTAAAATAGAGTTTTGAAAATATAACAAGTATTTGTTATTTACATTAGAAAAGGAATTCAACAATTCAACTTTTTGTTAGATTTTTAAGAATAGATTTCTGAGAATAACTTCTAAAAATATGGATTCAATAAATACATAGATTTAATACAGGAAGATGTACATTATAATTAATTTTCACACTCTATAACTTAGTTGACTAGTGTTGAACAATATTGTTAACATGTTTCTTATTGTTTATGAAAAATAACGCCTTTTTAATTTATTAATTAAACAATGTGAGTTTTGTTATTAATTTTAAAGCATTTCAAGCCGATCTTTGCAAAATTTTAACATTTTATTAAAGTTTTATTAAAGCAGTTCATTCGAAAAAATTTAAATATTGAATTTAAAAATTTTCTAACAATTCCCCCCTTTTGTAATCCCAAATATTTCTTGTCATAGTACAAAAAAAATTTTTTAATTAAAAATTTTATTTATTATCGTCCATAAATGGATCATCGCTTTAAATAGTAAAGACCAGCCTCTTTTGAGATTGAGATAAAATTGGAAATAAATTTGTTGTTAATAAGTAAAAGAGTGTATTTATTTTTTAAACAATTATCTCATTTAAATTAGTTCATCAAATTAAAGTAAATTAATATACAAGTATATATTCACATTATTTTCAAGAACTTAAATTTAATTATATTAAATGATAGTAGTTGTACAATATACAATGTATTTGATTTTTTTCTCAATCATTTCTCAAAATTGTAATTAATAGTACAAACGTTTAACATTTTTAAACAATTTGTAGTGTGATTAAATTAATGTCTATTAATTAAAACACAAATAAAACAGAAAAGTTCAAAGCTTTGAACTCAAACATTCAAACTGCACTAAAACCTCTAAAACATGAACTATAAAAAACATCAACAAACTGATAATAAAAAATAATATTTAACAAATTAATCATCACAATGTTTATAAACAAATTATTTTCTCAGTGGAAAACGCGCCAACAGCACTGATTTTTGAGAACTGAACAGCAACTGATGACGTCTGCTTGAGAAGTTTTTTTTCTGTTGTAGATGTATCTTAGCACGATTCACAAAAAACTCAAAATTTACGTTTTTGCAGAGGTTACTACATACTTGCAAAATTTCTGGGTTTTGTTATCTTTGGGAATTTCTTATGCTCATAGCTCTATCTATATAGGCAAGAAGCAAAAGCGAACTATGTCTGAGATGCTCAAAGTCTAGAGAGATCATCGCGAACTCAGTACGATCGCGTTGGTTGGCCGGTACGGTTTGTGTGTGCTACGCGAACGGAACACAGAAAGTGCCAATGGATAATATACCTATATAGTATACACTAAACAGAAAGCTCGATTATGTTAAGCAAAAATTAAGCCAACTGCCACAAAAGAGAAAAAAATATTATTTTTTTTTTATTTAAAATTACGAAAAAAATACAATTTTTGCACTTCAAATTGAGTAGTAAAAAAATAAAA